AGGATAACTTTAAGGGGTTGTCGATGTATTTGGCCTAATTTTAGTGTTACTCCAAGACTCCCCTTCAGGTGAAATCTATAGATAATTTTTTGATTTGTCCAAATTCATTTCATTGTTCCAATTTTATGGAATATCCGTTAAGGGACCATGGCCAAACCTTTATATTAAAATTTTTAATAGATGCCATAAGCCCCATATACAGAACGAAATATCGCATATGTCCCGATAGCTTTGGATTATCCTAGAGCAGTCAATAGGAATCTTTTACCTCCTATAGCAAAGGTTGATACCTTATTTATTTTAAATAAATACCATTTTAAAAAATTATATTTCATAGCTACCATTTGATTTTTATAGCCAAATATCTATTTATGGTCATCTCCTACCCTTAAACCATAAAATACGCTTTGTATTGTTTTCTCTCTCATTCTTTCAGATTTTTCTCTAACCTCTCTCTCAACGCCAGTTTTCTCCATGAATACAAACTCATGGATTCTCTCTCATCAGTTCCTCCGTCGATCGTTTTTCCTCCTGGAAAGCTTCTCCGCTGCCACCACCATCAGCTGCGAATCTCCGCTCTTTCTTCTCAAGCCATTCCAAAGGGTTGCCATTGTTGTTGCCACATATAACCAAACAAATATTGTATGAAGAAAGAGCTTTCAAACAAATCCTCTCGCTAGTATAAAAGAGCTTTCATAAGAGATCTTTCAGAGTCAGTATTTCGATCTCACAACAGTGGCTATGGCTACTCAACGAAGGGCAAACCCTAGCTCTCCATCTAATTACTGTATTCTCTCTGCCTGTCGCTGTCGTCTCCGCTGAGGTCTTCTTCGAGGAGAGTTTCAACGGTAATTTTCTTCATTCTCTCTCTTTTGGGAAAACACTGCAAAGCTGCAATTTGGTTGTTGTGTGGTCGTTTTGAATAAAGGCTAGATGTTGGAGAGGCCGGAATAGTATTACAGTAACGGGAACAATGACGTTTCGAGTCAGAATCGCGGGCCTCTCGACGAGACGACATTAGGGTTGTTCTTGAACAAAGACGACGGAGTTTGGGGCTGAGCAACTTGAAGATTCTGTTACCTTTTTTTTCATTGTATTTCAATGTATCTCGCTGTATTTTCATGTATTTCGTTGTATTCATTGTCGTTTTTTTTCGTTGTATTTCAGTGTATCTCGCTATATTCCATGTATTTCATTGTATTCAATGTCTCGCTATATTCCATGAATGTATTCATATATTTTTTTAATTAATATAATTTATGTATTCAGATGTATTATATAATTTCTTTGAAGATTGCTATGTTTTTGGGGTGTTTTTCGGTTGAGAATCTTTTTTATATCTGGAAATACAAAATTTGTGTGTTATAATTGAGTTTATTGAGTTATATTAGGAGTCTATTATGTTAATTGATTCACTTTTCGTTTAAAAAAGTGTAATCCCCTGTTTCACGTCGTGAATACAATCGAATACAGTCGAATACAATAATCTGTCCAGCTGTAATCCCATGTTTCACGCCATGAATACAGTCGAGTACAGTCGAATACAAAAATCTGTCTAGCTGTAATCCCCTGTTTTACGCCTAGAAATGCTACTGTATTCATGAATACAGTAGCTTAAATACATCGAATACACTCTAAAAAATTTGAAAACATAGCTATAGGAAGTAATATAGTAAATGGTAGCTACAACTAGCTAATAACCACTAAAACATAGTAGTTTCTGAAAGTTTCTCCGGTCAATATGGGTTTGGCCCGTTGGACCGGCCGGATTTAGCCTGTAATTTGATAGGGTTGGGCTAAAAAATTTGGAGCCCATTTAAAAACAAGGCTTTTAAGTCCGACCTAATTAAGCCTATGGCCCATGAGGCTTGATCGAGGCTGGATTGATTGGCCTGTGAGCTTAACAAGCGTATTTAATTAAAATATAAAAAAATAAAATAAGAAGAGTAGTTCAATCTCAAACTGGTAATATTTTTTATTTGAATTTAAATGCTTTTGTTCTTAATTTTTTTAGCTATTTCTTATTGTTTAACTAATTAACATTGCATATAATTATAGATTTAGATGAAAATGAAGATGTTATGACATATTTGTTTCAAAAGAACCCGATAAAGATAATTTGTTGGTGTTAGATATGCTATGAGTACCTTGAAAAGATTTTTGAGTAGTTTGTTTTGAGTATTGACTTTTAATAAATGAAATAACGTCCTCTTTTTTTTGTGTGTTTTATAGTAATCTATTGAAATAATGTCAGAAGTCATTAAGTTTTGTAGAGTTTTCCATACATCAAGTATATTTTTAGACTTGTATGTGTGTGTGAATATACACGTTTTGCATTTTAGGTTAAAACTTGAATTTTTAAAAATATAAAAAATAATTTTTTAAATGATGGGCTGGCCCGTGGAGGCCCCTGACCCACGTAAGGCTGGACTGGGTTGATCATTTCAAGACCCGTCGAAACAGTGGGCCGGCCCAAAGTAACCCATCAATTGCCAAAGCCCGTATGAACTGGGCTAGGCTGGGCTGGGCCAGCCCGTATCGACCGCTCTAGATTGATTATGGGAAAATCTCACTTTATACCCATTAAATTCAAACTATTTACCCTTAAATACCCATACCTAAACTATTTACTTTTCCTACCTATGCAATCAATACTATTTACCCGCCCACATTAGATTCTTTGGAGTTGTTAGCTATTCGTTTTTTTCTTCCTTTTTAATACAGATTTTTAGTGTCGTCTTTACCTTTTAATATAGAGTGGTGGACATGGGATATTCTTTTGTAATAAGTGCAGTTTTTTTATACTTGCCTGGTGCTTATATTTTGTACTCGTTGAAGGACAAATTAGTGAAATTGCAGTTTCATTAGGAGATAATTCCATCTTGTATTACTTTTGCGTGTTAGCATACAGGGGAAAAAAATAGTAAGCAGGTGTGTTATTATAAGCAGGTGTGCTGAATCAAATCGATCCAGCACTGCAAGAATCAAATCGATCCAGCACTGCAAGAATCAAATCGATCCAGCACTACTCCATTGGTCTCCAATTAAATGTAGCTAATATTGTTCTTTGATGCGTAGATTGTACCTTTGATGCTGATTTTTGGAGATTTATTATACAAAAATTTAAATCTACCATTGACGGACCTTGAAGCTTGAAACTCATAACTTGGTTTGTTTGAGTTTTTAATTGTTTTGATCCGATCCTGTATGGGTTAGTTTGGAAAGTTGATTGGAGGTTGTAGCTAAAGCTTTAGTCAATTTGGTGGAGATTTTGTAGTAAATTTTAGAAATTTGGGTTGAAATATAGTTTAACCAGAGAAGAAGACGAATTTGTATTGTATACCCAAATAGTATACAAATATACCATTTTAGTATACAATTCATTCCAACTATATACCCTATTAGTATAGCTATATACTATATTGGTATCATATGCTAGTTGAATTATTTTTTGGTTGTATTAGTTGCATTTAATTGGTACAATATTTGATTTTCTTTTAATAATAGTAATATAGTACAATATCTTGAAATACCTTATTATATTAATATGTGGTACACTATTTTTTTATTTTTCTCTTTATGCATGTGTGTTATGTAATAGTAGTATAGTCATATAGTTGCCGGAAATTAACTAGTAAAATTGTATACCATGTTGGTATAGTTATATGCCATATTGGTATCATATGGTAGTTTGAACATTATTTTGGTTGTTTTAGCTGCAGTTTAAGTGAATTCTATTATGAAATTATTTATATCAACATGAGTTGCAATAATGCTGGAATTTTTGTGTGCCGATGGACATAAATTATGTGTATTAATAGTTTTTATAGTCATAGGCAATTGTTGGAACGACCCCATACAACTATATACCCTCTTAGTATACGAAATGAGCAAGTTGTTTTGCGAATATTTAGCTTGCAATACGAGCATGTAATTTTCTCATACTTTTATTGCGTCCTTTAATATTTTGGTAGAGTAGTATAGTCGCAGATAGTTTTGCAATATTCTAGAGAAATCATATGCGCTGTTGGTATACATATATACCATATTGGTATCACATGGTACTAGAAGTCTTTTTCGCTACTTATACTTTTGTTCTATTTTTTAATATTTTATTATCATTTTTATTCTAACTAGTATATATGGAGATTTGGTTGCCGTAGATTATGTTTTCTTTGCTCTATAACTGGTTGTATTACTGCTAATGGTAGAGTGTGTATTGATATTTATAGGGAAGGAGATCAAGGTTTGCATGGCAATCACGTGTTGATTCTTAGAATCTGATTATGTAATTTATGGTGCTCAACAGCAGTCAATGTGATATTCAGTGTATTAGATCAAGTGACAACTGATATTATTTCAGTTTAATAATTGAATTTAAAAAATGAGAAAGAAAAATAAAATAAAAGGTGTATTGTACTAGTTATATTAAAAAAAGGTAAACAAATATTTACTATATCAATTATTTTTCTTATTCTATAAAAAAAGAATAATAAAAAAATTAGTGAAAACGGTAAATGAAATTAGATTATGAAGAGAAAAAGAATATAAAAAAAAAAGAAGTTAAATGAAATTAGAAAAGGAAAAAAGAAAAAAATAAGAAGAAAACGAGAAAAAAGAAAAGCAGAAAAGAAAAAAAAGAAGAAAAGAAGCATAGAAATAAAAAAGAATTGGAGAATAAAGAAAAAATCCCCTACAAAAACTACTACGGGTAGGAAATGTAATTAGTTTATGGGTAGAAAAACAAATGAGTAGACAAGGGTAAATAGTTTTATTTTTGTGGGTAGCTGTGTCAACACCCCTAGATTATCCCTAGCCAAGTGATACTCCATGTCAGTTCTAACATGTTTAGTGGAAAAATGACCAATACTAGATTTGCTTGCCTATAAGATTCATAACTAAAGAAGATTGAGGACATAGGTGCCCTGCGTTTCAGTCCTCATAAATTTTTTTTAAAAACTAACTGTCAACTGATTTCTATACTATAAGCCTATAACATAGAAACAACAAGAGCAGAGCATAAGCAGGATTCAGAAAGGTGAATCATCAAAAATTTACAAGCATAAACATTATTTAGAAAAATAATACATTTTTCTTGCAGAGCCTTCAACTATATATAATCATCATAAGTAAAATTGCAACATTAATCAACTGAAACAGGTTGCATATTCTCGGCCTCTTTCCTCAGATCTTGATACAGAACCGATGAGAGGTACCTCTCTCCAAAACTTGCATGTATAGTCTGAAATTGAAAATGACAAATTGTGAAAAATGAGCAAAGAAAAAGTATTGAGGTTGGGTTTGTATCTTAAATCTGACATATTCATACCACTATGAGTTTGCCTTTGTTTTCTGGTTTTTGAGCAAGTTGAAGAGCTGCTACTGTATTAGCTCCCGACGATATTCCAACCTATTCAATGGAGATAAGCTTTTTCATTACATGATATAAAGGGATCGCAACAGATTTACTCTATAGATGAATACTACTATGTAGTTTAGAGTGGAAACATCTATCACACTTTTATCAAAATGAGAGTGATCGGGACTATCCGGACACATACTTCATCAAACAGTTCATGCATGTTTGTTTTCAGGAGCAACAAGATCAAGTTGGTACCGATCAAGTTTTTTAGCTATTGGTTTTTAAAAGAAAGATGCATTTATCTAGAACTTTACCATGAGCCCTTCCTTGACTGCCAACTCCCTAGCCATGTTTACGGCGTCTTCACTAGAAACCTGCATTACATGAGCAAGCACAGATCATGTACAATTACCAGACTGACTAAGCTGTAATTCACTGGAACTCTTGGTAATCACATAATTTTGTTGATATTTCCAGTTTCAGAAGAAAACAGATTAACAAAGAATTTAACATACCATCATAACTTCCTCCATTATATCCATGTCCAGGATATCTGGCTTGAATCCAACCCCGTTCCCTGTTATGTGATGAGGACCTGTATTGGTGGTCATTTAAAGATTATTATAAATATTATAAGAACATGCAGTAATTTGAATACTTCATAAATACTAGGATCTCATAGACAAATTGAAAGATGAGAGGAAAATTACCTGGTTTTCCACCATTTAGTACATTGCTTTCAGTTGGCTCAATTCCATATATCTAGCAAAGAGGAGAAAATATAAGCATGGTGTTATGTTAAGTTATGAGTTTAAGTTCTATACATTGACGTGTATAAAAACTAATAAGGCAGATTACCTATAAAACAAGTTAAAATACATTGATAGTGTATAATTATTTACACTCTCAATGTATATAAGTTAAATTTGTCAACTTGTTTTGTAACATAGTCAATCAGAAGTACATTGATAGTATGGATTTACCTTGACATTAGGATTTTTGGATTTCAGATATTGTCCAACACCAGAGACAGTGCCTCCACTTCCTATTCCCATGACAAATATGTCAACATTACCCTGAGTTTCTTCCCATATCTCAGGACCAGTCGTCTCAAAATGAATCTGTTTTCAACGTGAAACAACCGAGAATCCAATAGTGAAACAAAGAACATAGGATTAAGTACGGTTTCTTCAAAATACCTGAGTGTTTGCAGGATTAGAAAACTGCTGAAGCATGAAAGCATTAGGTGTAGATTCCAAAAGGCCATAAGCTTTCTTAACAGTGCCTCCCATTCCTTTGGTTGGATCAGTGAGGACTAAATCAGCTCCAAATGCTCTCATTGTCACTCTCCTCTCCAAGCTTGTGTATGAGGGCATTGTCAAAACCATTTTGTAGCCTTTCATTGCTGCCATAAATGCCATGCTGATCCCCATATTTCCCGATGTTGGCTCAATCAATGTCGTCTAAATATAATCAAGAAGTAGGTCAAAGATAACATATACTAGTCAAGTTTAAAATCTACGCACTGACAGTATAAAAATATTTATACAATCATATGTTATGATAAGAGAAAAACGCGGTATCCCAACTTGTTGTACTCCTGCTAGTGTCCGGATAGAATTGCATTTACTTACCTTTTCAGGTGATATTAAGCCTTTCTTTTCTGCATCATTGATCATCGCCAATGCTGGTCTGGTGAAAATACAAGAGAATTAGTTTTTTCTTAATACAGAGTGGAAGCAAAGAAGTGATGTACAAATAAGAATACGGTTTTTAGACAAATGAGATCCATTCCAGCTACGAACAAATACTCAACATAGACAGGAGAGAAGTATGAAGAAGATAAGATACCTGTCTTTGATGCTAGAAGTAGGTTGAAACATCTCTTGTTTCACAGCTATGTGAGCTCCACATCCTTCTGTCACTTTGTTAAGATAAACCATTGGTGTTTTTCCAATTAGCTGAAATTTTATGTCAGTTTATCACATAAGCATTTGGGGAGTGTTTGATCATGACTTCACTTGTAAACTGAAATCAATATTTGCAAGCTTAAGTTTGGCCATCACTATTTACAAATTATTGAGCTTCAGACTGAAGCTCAATAATTTGTATTTCAAATACAAATACTAATGAAATATTAAATTAAAGCTCACTCTGATGAGTATTTCAAGTGAAATAATGATTTTCAATCACATCATTACTTTCTTTTCAAGTGAAATTTATGTTCAAATACAACTTCAACTTTCAATTACTTTTTTTCTACTTCAAAAATTATCGAAACTGACATAAATGTATAACTTTATTGTCATCCCAACTTCATAAAGCAAAATTTATAGAACTAAAAATCAGGAAGAGTGACACTCTTGCATGAGGGTCACCTCGACCCTTCTCCGGATCCCGCCGAGCCGCCTTTTGTTTTAAGGGTTGGACTATTCTCGATATCAATTGGGTGCAAGTTCGTATCCAACCAAAATTTTCTTATTTGATTTTTCAGTGCCTACAAACACATACTGACAAAAGTGTCATCCTAATCCAATAGAGTTTAGTCTTCGGCGGGCCATTGAAGCTTAACTATCAAATCTCAAATAACGTAGAATACTATCCAACTTCCTAATTTGATCCCACCCGTCAAATCAGAGTTACTCAATGTTTTACGTTGTTTTCCTTAATCCATGCTTCTCTAAGCTTCATTAAATAAGAACTTGCTCAAACTAGAAATATAGCTGGATACCCTTAATTTCATAATTTATATACCACTTTTTACTCTATAAAATTTTAAAGTTAGAAAGAACAAAGTAAGTCCCAAAGGTTTAAAGTTAAAAGAATATTATAAGAAAAATGAAGGGAAAAAAAAAAAAAAAAAGCAATTCAAAGAATACTTAATAATTAATACTATATTGTCCAAGAGCTCCTCGAAAATATCGTTAGTTTAAGATTCCCTTTTACCTTACCCTCCCTTTTCATGGTCATTATTTCTCATACAGGAAAGAAATAGATGATGGACTAAAGTTACAAATTAAAATTATTTTTTGTCACATTAAAATAATTAAACTATATATAAATTGATCAAAATACAAATGATCGGAAGGTTAACTTTTCAGCACTGAGTTATGACACGTCATTTTTTTGAATACAAACACAGGAAAGGAAACTCAAATGCCATAGCCAGAAACTAATTTCAGCTAAATCTCTATATATACATACATAAAAATCAGAAAGAGAGAGGGAATTAATTGATTGCACTAACTTGAGAAACTTGAGTCTTGATGTTAGTAACAGGAAGTTGTAATTTGGGAGTATGAACTAAAGGCTGAGTAGAGAAGAATCTGGTGATGAAATCAACATTACTATTACAGTATCTTGATCTCTTCAACAATCTGCTTAAAGCCGCCATTAATGGATTCTCAACAGCTCAGAGAAATTGCCTCTTCAGCTCTTGAAAAAATGCAACTATATATTGCACTTGAAAGTTTACACAAAAGCTATTAGCTATGATAGCTTAGCCTTTTTTTGTGTACCTCACACTTGAAAGATATGACACCCTTTTTTATAACGAAAAGTTTTGTTACATTATCCAATCGGACTTCTTTGCTGTATTTTTTATTTTTTCACTCTCTCTCCCACAATCTTTTAGGTATATAAAAAATTTCTATTAAGGACAGAATTTGGACTCTTCCCAATTTCAATTAAAAAGAAAATGAAATAAGCTAGCAACAAAAATTGCCAAGTTGTAAAAAGACATACATGATACTTTTTGGGGTTTTCGCTTGGTGTTCGGTATTCGTATTGGGCCCAATTAAATTTGGATTCACACTGAAAAATGACACATTGAAAGTAAAACGTTCTCTAACAAAGGCGATTTCCTACTCAAGGCTCAAACTCGTGACCTCTAATTAAGGATACGAGAGTACTTATCAGTTATCACTTTATTAGGACCTTCAATTTGTGGATGCTAGCTCACATGATATTGTTCCTATGTAATTTGTACGAAACTCAGAATATATAGAGGTTAAGTTTAATAATTTTAAATATTTGCATGCATTTTTTTTTTTTTTTTTGTAAAATGGACTTTGATTTACTAAATCTAATAGAATTTATATATTTAGAAATTCACATAAAAATGCTACAAATTCACAATTGTTCTAGTAAAAGTATTTAAAGAATGTAGGAAATTATAACTAAACAAGAAATTATAATTAATGAATGGTTTTCGTAATTTTTTAATTCTACTAGTGATCTAAGGGAATACGTAGGAGTAATGTTATTACAGGATTTCACGATTTCATTAATGCTAAACCTTTTGTCATTAATATATCCTCTATCTCTTACTCCCTCCGGTCGTGATCTTTTTTGTTGTTTTCACACAAATTAAGAAACCCATGCTTTTTGGCATTAATTAACAATATAATGACCATATTAACCTTAATTTGTTCATTGAATATACAACAAATACTTCAAGGCACTTTACTCCATCTCCAAGGGCAATCTTGAAAAAAAGAAGTTAATTCTTTTGTGATATTTGGAAAAAATCAAATACTATAGACCACAAAAAAATGCCAAAAAATCACTTAAATTGGATCAGAGGAATTAACCTGTTTGCCTTAAACTAAGGATTTGGCGAATGATTTCACAACTGTGTTATATCACCATCGTCATCCATGTGTATGAGTTTAGCAAATGAATTAAAATAATAATAATAATAACAAAATAAGTCGTTTGTGTTGAAAAATATAGAGAAATAAAGCCATCTGTATCATTGCCGTTCGCCGAAAGGCATGCACTTTTTATTGATTTTTTTTTTATAATGGCGGTGTATGAGCACCTCGACCTTGAATATATATTGAGTACATGCTATTTTTTATCAACACATATTCAGGTAATTTTACCAGTCACGATTCAGGTAGGAAAAGATCATCTAATATTTTTTTCTCTATTATAATTTGAATCCTAATCTCCAGAGTTTCCTCCTAGCTATACTTCATACCAACTAGGTCACAACCTTAATATGAATGAACTTTAAAATGGGATGTCTTTGTTGATGGCTATTTGCTTTCGTAGTATTATAAAAGTAAAAAAGGAATAGTCTCCAAGATGGCCACATTATATACATGGGTGAAGCTAGAGTTAGCGGGTTTGATCGAATTCATTAGCTTTGGTTCAAACTCTGTATTTGTCTTAAATTTTTTTATTGAATATATATAAATTATTAATTTAGAACCCAGTAACTTAAGGCGATTCAAATCTCGAACCCATAAACTTGAAATCCTGATTCCGCTCTGATTATATATGGTAAAATCTGAGAATAATGAAGAAAATGATCCAATGAATACTCACTATTTTCATGTACTAGCTCGAATTTAAAATTCACTTTCCTCGAGTTAAAGAGAAAAGAAGAAAACAAAAGAAAAAGATAGGATTTAGGAGTGCTTAAATAAAGTAAATAAATCACTTTTATTCTCAAAATGCAAGCAAAGTAGAATGGTAGACCATATACTGATGTGGGACACCTATGACGGCTGAATTGTAATCAATCAGTGCATGCACCTCTTCTGCATGCTCAAAGGCAAATTTCTTGTTTTATTGTCCCAATACCATTTTAAGCAAAAAGAGAGAGAAAAAAAAAAGTCCAATTTTGTAGTTTAAATTTATTAAATGTAGAGAATTTTAACAGATTGAATAAGCCCCAAATAGTTAGAACCAAAAAAGGAATTGTCAAATATGTCACAGTCGCTCGTTGGAGGTGGTCCATTTAAAACTCTATTTACATTTTCCGTTGTTCAATTGAATTTCCCCACCCGAATGCCAATTCATGTCAATTTCAACCTTGTGGGGAAAAAATGACTAGATCTAAATTGGTACCATTTGGATAAGGCAAGAAAAAAAGCCATTTATTCTACACCAAGAATTGGAAATGGACGGTGGATTTTTTTTTAGCTAAAAAAAGCAGGGGATGTATTTAATATAGAGGATATGATTTCATAGGTTTACTTTATACTCTGTATTTTTCTTAAAAAATTATAAAATTTGTTAAATAATGATAGAAATGTGAATCTAAACTCATAAAGTTTAACTGATTGCATACAAAAGTCATAACGAAAGAAAATTGGGGAAATAGATGATCTCACTAATTTTCATCCTTCATTTTATTTGAAATATTAATGCCAGCACTACCAATCTACCATATAATAAACCAGTGGTGTCAACTGTGAATGACATAGTTAAAGTCATTAAAGGTACAGTGGAATGATTAAAATTCCTCTATCATCAATAAAAGGTCTTGACATGAAAATGAAAAACATTCAGGTGACGAATATTTCACTCTGACCTATTTAGCATGAATATTTTTACACAAATAGCCGGATATATTCATTGTTTACTATTTCTAGTCATATACATAGACTATACATTCATTATATATGCATAAATTATGTATATATATATATATATATTATACCTCCAACGACCATTTTTAGTTTAGACGGTTGGGTGGACGGCTATTTAGATTAATTCTTCAATGTAAATAGCCGGTTCAATAAATTCCGGATAATTAAATTGAACAAAAATGATAGAACTAATTAGAAATTTGTATGTATCTCATCACATACCCTTCTATTTTAGTATATATCAATGTAATGCTATCATATTTTATCATGATCAATGCCACGTCGGTATAAGACGAATGTAAAGTAGAAATGCTGTCTCACATCAATTTAATGAGATTCTAACATGAATTAAAAACAAAAATTTACCAACTTCTTCTCTATCAAGGTAACCAACCTCAATTTTTGCTCATAAATTGATGGGTGGAGGACATAATTTTTAGATTTCTGATATTCCTTTTAAGCAAAAACTTTAACTCATAAAAAACAAGAATAAAGATCACGCTACAACTTACAATCTCACTGTATAAAAAAAACGAGATACAATATTTTGTAATAAATGTGCACTGCACTTGCCATTTTTTAATTTTATTTTTGTATACGTTTGATCAAAGGAATCCCATGTGATGCAATGAAAGATTTCCTTAAAATGAACAAACACAGCAGCATTCGACCGTCCAGACTAATGGTATTTGTCTTCACCTCAAAAGTAAGCATCCTCGTACAGACCCCTCTAGTAATATATGATCTCAATGTCCTTTCATTTTATTTTTTTAATTTTTATGAAGTCGATCTTAAACATCCATGTTCCAATCAGGGACTTGTTCTAACTCCCAAGTGTATTCTCACAACTAGATTTAAAATTTAGACGTTATAGGTTCTAATTAGTGATCGTAAATTATAAAATATATATCAAACTTTGTCTCTGCTTGTTTCTCGTACATATATATAAGATTCGGTCTTAAAACATTGATCAGCTGTATTGAAACTTAGGTCATTGTTGAATCCACCGTTTAATTGAGGGTTTTGATCGTCTCAGTGATTGGCTGCTAATCCTCGCTATTCGCCAATATCTTTATACTTTTTAAACTGCTAGCTTCCTTATTATATTAAGCTCAATCATAGTAATATGTGTCCCTGCTTGTCCCTCTTTCGATGAAATTATAGTTGTTGAAAAGATTAATGAGAGATTAGTTTCAGTAAAGATGGTTTGTTTTTTAATTGTATGAGAAAGATCTTTTATGTAACTTTGTAACTTGTGAATTGCACCCACCCTCTAACTTTTTTCCCCTTCATAATTACACGTATTCATAGTAGGACTGTTCAAACCAAACCGTAACCATAACCGCTAATCGTACCATGAAAAGTGGCTAGTGGCTTATTGGTATCGGGTTATCGGATTAACGGTTGGTGAACGGATTGAAATTTTATAATTAATGGTTTATCGCTTCGCGGGCGGATTACTTAATTTTCTTATCGGATAAATCGTTAACCCGATAAGAAATATTGTATTTATATTTTTACCCATTATGAAGCAGCTTCTTAGCAACTTGAGCTCCAACGTCATCATAACTTATTTTTGGTGTAGGACTAGGCAAATTTAGATAGTTTTATATCTTTCTGCTCAAATAAATCATTTAACTTGGTAACTGAAGCAAAATTATATCCAAAATTTATGTTAACTGAACTTCTATTACTGGTTAAGGATCCCCAATTTGTATTTTAGCATGCTTATTGTAAAAGAATTTAAGAAGAAGAAACTACCATTAACAATGAGAGCTTTATTAACGTACTGGAGTGTGATTGTGATTGGATCGTCTATCTATTGTTTAATCATATGTATTGCTTATTTGTGTAATTTTTATTGTATATTTAATTTAGCCAATAAACTGCCCGATAACTGTCCAATAATCGCTAATCTGATACCAATCCCCCCAATATCTTATCGATCGAATAGCTAGCGGATTAGTACATTTACAAGCCGATAACCGATTAGCCAAACCGTTAAATATAAATATCCGTCCAATCTGCCCGATAAGCAGTCCTAATTCACATACGTAAGAAAGTTTAAGAGCCTGTTTGGAAAGCCACCTAGGAATTGGATTTGGGTGTAATTACACAGTTTAGCACGTTTGCTGGCCAAGTAATTACTTGGTCAGGATGGAATTGGGTGTAATTACACTCTCCAATTCTCAAGGGGGAGATG